TCAAAAATACATAACAAGTGGTAAAGATGATAAAGCAAAGACAAAATTTGAAAACGAATGGAGAAAATGGGATGGTCTTATCAAGTTGTAACTCATAGCATCAGTGGCAAAAATCCATATTTGACAGCAGTTTATTCAAGTCACATCTGCAGCTCCTTAGCATCCAATAAATAATCCATAGTAGCCTTGCACACACACAAAAAGATGAAAATATATTTAATTAAAACAGAACTATTTTTTTTTTCATTAGTTGTTGCTTGCCATCCCAACCACTAAATATCCTGTTGTTACTTATGTATATAGTCTTTTCTCTCTCTCTTTCTTTTTCTTCTTCCTTTTGAAAAAACTTTAAAAAAAAAAACAATACAATGAGTGTGTAAGCACTTCCATGCTGACTACATCTTGTTGATAGCTCGGTCGAAGTTAAATTGATCAGGCTGCACCTGAATGAAGCTGTTTCTTTTTTGTTTTTTATTTTTATCCGCGAAAAAGTACAGGCTTAAGTAACAAGCTCATTATTATCTTATTTTATATGTATACATTCCTACGACTATATGCAAATATATTGTTTATCAGTCTGGTCTGGTTTTGTCTGGTCTGGTCTGGCCAGGTCTGATCTGGTCTAGTCTGGCTGGCTGTCTGTCTGAGTGTATGTCTGTCTGTGTGCGAGGGTATGTGTGAGGGTGTATGTGTTGATGGGTGAGAGTATGTATGAGTGAGGGTGTTAGTGGTGTTTAAGTACTTAAATATTGACCGTATATGAAACAATTTGTCTTTACATAAATATGTATGTGTGTATCTGCAAGGGAGAATGAATAGTGACTATGTATGAAACAATTTGTTTATACAGAAACATGTATGTGTGTACATGCAAGCAGAGACATATGTGTGTTATGTATGTCTCTGATGCAAAAGAGAATGAAAAGTGACTGTGGATGAAACAACTTGTTTATAGATAAGTATGTATATGTGTATATGCAAGAGAGAATGAATAGTGATTGTGTATGAAACAGTTTGTTTGTGTGTGTGTATGCATACAGTATATAGTTGTTTTTTATTGTTGTGTGTATGAGCATGTCTTCCTTGAGATATACAAACAATAGATACTATAAGAGCTGTCATGTGTGCAAAGGTGTGTGTGGGCTTGCATGGATGAGCAATAGGCTGTTTCATTGTATATTCCCTCTCTGTATCAACTCATTGTATTGAATAAAATGATAAATTACAAAAAAAAATAATCATTACCCTAACACTAACCCTAACCCTAAACCAAAATCCCATGTCACTGAGTAGCAAAAGGACCTTTCTGAGTAGCAAAATACTAATAACCCTAACCCTAACCATCAGTAGCAGTCAACATAGCTGAATAATAATGAGAAAAGATCAGCATTCCGTCAGCACGCCATCAGTCAATATTCCCATTGTTGTATGCCGACTAGTTCCTCCACTGTAAGCCAGAGAACATGTTAGACCAAAGATTAAAAAGAGATAGCTCCGCCTCCATAAGTCACGAGAGCCATTAAATGACATTGACGAGTTGGTAGGTGCGCACTACTCATAAAAAACCCATAACCCTAACCCTAACCCAAAAGCCCATGTCATTAAGTAGCAAAAGGACCTTTCTGAGTAGCAAAATACTAATAACCATTACAATAACCCTAACCCTAACGCTAACCATAAGTAGCAGTCAACATACCTGACTAATAATGAGAAACGATAAGCATTCCGTCAGCACGCCATCAATCAATATTCCTTTTGTTGTATGCCGACTAGTTCCTTCACTCTAAGCCGGAGAACATGTTAAAACAAAGATTAAAAAGAGATAACTCCGCCTTCCTAAGTCACGTGAGTCATTAAATGACATTGACGAGTTGGAAGGTGTATATTTTTACAAATAAAAACTTATCCTAACTCCGTATACATTAGTCACGTGACCTAAATCATGACATTGACGAGTTGTTAAGCGCGCACTACTCGTAAAAACCACCTAACCCTAACTTTTAACCCTTACCCAAAAACCCCTTAACCCTTACCCTAATCCTAACCCTAACAATAAAATCCCATATCATTGAGTAGCAAAAGGACCTTTCTGGTTAGCAAAATAATAATAACGATTACCCTAACCCTAACCCTAATCCTAACTCTAACCATAAGTAGCAGTTACCATACCTGACTAATAATGAGAAACGATAAGCATTCCGTCAGCACGCCATCAATCAATATTCCCATTGTTGTATGCTGACTAGTTCCTTCACTCTAAGCCGGAGAACATGTTAAACAAAAAATTAAAAAGAGATAATCCCGTGTCCTTAAAGCATGTGAGCCATTAAATGACATTGACGAGTTGGAAGGTGTTGATTTTTACAAATAAAAACTCATCCTAACTCCGCCTACCTTAGTCACTTGACCTATCTCACGACATTGACGAGTTGGTAGGTGCGCACTACTCCTAAGAACACCCTAACCCTAACCCTAATCCTAACCCTAACACTTACCTTAACACTAACCCTAAAAGCCCACGTCACTGAGTAACAAAAGGACCTTTCTGAGTAGCAAAATACTAATAACCATTACCCTTACCCTAACCCTAACTCTAACCATACGTAGCATTCAACATACCTGACTAATAATGACAAACGATAAGTATTCCGTCAGCACGCCATCAATCAATATTCCCATTGTTTTATGCTGACTAGTTCCTTCACTCTAAGCCGGAGAACATGTTAGACAAAAAATTAAAAAGAGATAATCCCGTGTCCTTAAAGCACGTGAGCCATTAAATGATATTGAGGAGTTGGAAGGTGTACATTTTTACAAATAGAAACTCATCCTAACTCCGACTCCCTTAGTTACGTGACCTATCTCATGACATTGACGAGTTGGTAAGTGCGCAATATTCGTAAAAATACCCTAACCCTAACCTTAATCCGAACCCAAAAGCCCTTGTCACTGAGTTGCAAAAGGACTTTTCAGAGTAGCAAACTAATAATAACCCTAACCCTAAGTAGCAGTCAACATACCTGACTGATAATGAGAAACGATAAGCATTCCGGCAGCACGCCATCAATCAATATTCCCATTGTTGTATGCCGACTAGTTCCTTCACTCTAAGCCGAAGAACATGTTAGAACAAAGATTAAAAAGAGATAACTCCGCCTTCCTAAGTCACGTGAGTCATTAAATGACATTGACGAGTTGGATGGTGTACATTTTTTTCAAATAAAAACTCATCCTAACAACGCCTACCTTAGTTACGTGACCTATCTCATGACATTGACGAGATGTTAGGTGCGCACTACTCGTAAAAACCACCTAATCCTAACCCTACTCCTAACCCAATAGCCCATGTCACTGAGTAACAAAAGGACCTTTCTGAGTAGCAAAATACTAATAACCATTACCCTCACCCTAACCCTAACCCTAACCCTAACCCTAACCCTAACCCTAACCCTTAACCCTAACCCTAACCCTTACCCTAACCCTAACCCTAACCCTAACCCTAACCCTAACCCTAACCCTAACCCTAACCCTAACCCTGACCCTATGTTGCAGTCAACCTACCTGACTAATAATGAACAATGGGAAGCATTCCGTCGGCACGCCATGAAACAATATTCCCATTGTTGTATGCCGAAAAGTTCCTTCACTCTAAGCCGGACATCACATTAGACCAAAAATTAAAAATAGATGACTCCGCCTCCCTAAGTCACGTGAGCCATTAAATGACATAGACGAGTTCGAAGGTGTACATTTTTACAAATAAAAACTCATCCTAACTCCGCCTCCCTAAGTCACGTGACATATCTCATAACATTGACGAGTTGGTAGGTGCGCACTACTGGTAAAAACCCCCTAACCCTAACCCTAACTCTAACCCTAACCCTTAAAACCCAATAACACTTACCCTAACCTTAACCATAACTCAAAATCCCATGTCACCAAGTAGCAAAAGGACCTTTCTGAGTAGCAAAATATTAAAAACCATTGCCCTAACCCTAACCCTAACCATAAGTAACAGTCAACATACCTGACTAATAATGAGAAACGATAAGCATTCCGTCAGCACGCCATCAATCAATATTTCCATTATTACACGCCGACTAGCTCCTTCACTCTAAGCCGGAGAATATGTTAGACCAAAGATTAAGAAGAGATAACTCCGCCTCCCTAAGTCACGAGGGCCATTAAATGATATTGACGACTTGGAAGGTGTACATTTTTACAAATAAAAAATCATCCTAACTCCGCCTACCTTAGTTATGTGACCTATCTCATGACATTGACGAGTTGGTAGGTGCGCACTACTCGTAAAAACCACCTAACCCTAACCGTAATTCTAACCCTAACCTTAATCCTAACCCAAAAGCCCATGTCACTGAGTAACAAAAGGACCTTTATGAGTAGCAAAATACTAATAACCATTACCCTAACCCTAACCCTAACCCAAAAGCCCATTTCACTGAGTAACAAAAGGACCTTTCTGAGTAGCTAAATACTAATAATCATTACCCTAACCCTAACCCTATCTTGCAGTCAACCTACCTGATTAATAATTTAAAATAGGACATTCCGTCAGCACGCCATGAAACAATATTCCCATTGTTGTATGCCGACTAGTTCCCTCACTCTAAGCCGGAGAACATGTTAAAACAAAGATTAAAAAGAGATAACTCCGCCTTCCTAAGTCACGTTAGTCATTAAATGACATTAACGAGTTGGAAGGTGTACATTTTTACAAATAAAAACTCATCCTAACTCCGCCTCCCTTAGTCACGTGACATATCTCATAACATTGACGAGTTGGTAGGTGCGCACTACTCGTAAAAATACCCTAACCCTAACCCTTACCCGAAAGCCCATGTCACTGAGTAGCAAAAGGACATTGAAAACATTGAAACACATTCCTGTATTATCACTTTACCTGATGTGTATATATTACATTTTCAGTAACTACACACAGTCCTGAATGTATGTTACCAGATGTAACTGATGAAGATGTGATGGCTCCCTCATCGGTTGACAAGCATGACAAACCATCAAATCTACCCAGAGATACAGTTGCTACCCTGGATGATGGCATTGATAATACCCCAGTTTCAACGACAAATGTACAAGTAGTTATGATGGAAACTGATGATACTGCTACATACAGTTCCAATGAACCATCATCTGACATTTCTGTGTCAATGGTCAACATCCCTGCATCTGCTACTGATACCAGCAAACCAGAAACTGACTTTTGTAAGTATAAATATGTTACACCTCCTTCTATATATAGAATGAGGATGAAAAATCTTTTCTTTGAATTAACTTCCAATGAATACTGGAGACTTCAGAAGAATGTAAGATTATTTATTAGCTCACCTGGTCCAAAGGACCAAGGTGAGCTATAGCCGTACCGTGGCGTCCGTCTGTCCGTCAACAATTTCTTTAATTTGATCAAATTTGGCTGGAAGCATCCTTGGCAGTTGGAGATTCAAAAATGTACAAATGAAGTGGCTGACCCCCCGGGGGCCTGAGGGGTGGGGCCCAAAAGGGTAAATTGGCCATATTGCTTTAAGCATCTTCTTCTCTGAAACTAAATAATGACTATCAATCATATTTCGCTGGATGAAGCATCCTCAGAGTCGAGAATTCAAAAATGTACAAATGAAGTGGTTGCCCCCCCATGGGACTGAGGGGCGGGCCTAAATGGGGTACTTTGGCATTATTACTTTAAGTATCTTCTTCTCTGAAACTAAATAAATGCTGTGGGTCATATTTGGCAGGAAGCATTGTCAAGAGTTTGGGATTCAAAAATGTACAAATTGTCAAGCTGACATTGGAGGTGGGGGGGGGGGAGACAACTTATGCCTAGAACTCTTGGTCATAAAGATCCAGGTGAGCAATACATTCCCTCTGGGCCTCTTGTATTACATTATTACTGTAATTTATTTTATTTCATTTATTTATTTACTTATTATTTTTCTGTTTGTCCTCGGTGTACTTCCGTAGTGTAGATTCCTGTTGCGCATATATAAATGTTGTACATATTATTATTAATTATTTTAGTACCAGAAGCAAGTACTGAGTCCAAGTGAGTTTTATGGTGTGCATGATTACACTAACTTTTTTCCAAGTAAATGATTAAAAACAAGATAAGCTTTGAAAGTATTTTTATATCTCTGCAACGGAGTTTGGGGGTTAATTTGGAAACAGCTTGTCCATCCATCCCCCCATCTGTCTGCAGACAGACCTTGCCCACTCAACTCTTCCTACAATTTTCATTCAAAATCCTTTAAACTTAATAGGCTGTTAGAGTTAAAGTTGAAGGTGCGCTTCTTGATGTTATTTTTCATCTTCCCAACCATTTTTATGAAAGTTAGGCCCCTTTACATTTTGCTCAATTATTATTTCCACAGAGACACATACAAAATTTAATCAAACAGTCTCTGGATTAAAGATAGGATCATAATAATTGAAACTTAGCAAATCGTGTAACCTATTAATGCCTATAAATATCATTCATAGGTGTTCCAGTACCGTTTCTATGGAAACATGATTGGGACTATGGTTGATTGATAATGAAAAATTGGTATACAGGTGTTGTTCGACATGAGAAACACCAAGTTGAAGTTCATTTTGTGAAATTATAGTTGCCATGGTAACCAGGTCACTATACACAGGTTTTTGTGAAATAGCCATAACTCATCAACCCTGTGGTCATTTTTATGGAAACTTGGTCAAATGGTGCAACTTATTCCAGTACCATTACTATTAAAACATGATTTAGGCTTTTGTTTGGACGAAAATGAAATAGTATCAGATTTTCACGGAAATTGGTATATAGGTATTGTCTTTCATCAGGAACAAAAAGATGAAGTCCATTTTCTAATGTGAAAATATGGCCTTCGAGGGAGGCTTCTGATTTGTCAAATTTAGATATTGTTGGAATTTTTGTGAAAATTGAGTCAAAGGTATTGTCTGTGAGGAACATGGCAATGCAGTTCTTTTTCTGATTTTAACACCTGAAACAGTGTATGGGGCATATATACTGGAATCACTTGTCAGACTCCATGGCTAAAACAATGCATGTATAAATTCTTTGCATCTGCAGGGGTTTTAGCTATCTTCATGATGACAGTTCTAGTTATAACATAAACGGTCTTTTTCCATCTATAACATGGACCGTTTTCAAAAAAAAAATGCTTGTATCACTTGCCAGTTTTTAATACAAAATGTTTTCTAGTATTATATATTCATTGGAAGAAAAATATATCCTGGTTGGATCTAGTCTGGCAGTATTTTCATTTAACTACACTTGTAAAGTACTTTAAAAGTTCTTTATTTGAATTTTAGAAAGGGGAAACAATTTATTTACAATACTTCTATGAACTGTTGATTAACACCGGAAATCAATCAATCCATGCCATACTTTAATATGTAGTTAGCTATAGGTAAAAATCAATTGTTTTATGCAATATTTCATATCATTTGGTAAATGATCTAGAGAGGTAGAGGTTGTCTTACAGAGTATCTGAAATTGAAATGAAAAAATTCTAACCTATGACAGTACAACCAGATATATCTCTTGCATTCCCATCAGTTACTAATGATGTCGTCCAGACATATTTCTAGCTTTTAGTTAATTTTTACAGAGTTATTGACAACTCAGCCAGATCAGATGACTCAAGTGAAATCCCAATCTTGGATCCCAAGGCTTTGAATCAGACTGAAGAAAATATCCAAAAAGATGGAGTTACAGTTAAACTGTTTTCTCAGAATGAAAACGGGAAAAAAATTTGGGATAAAAAACACTACTGCCTATATTGTAACAAGCCTTTTGCAAAACTTCCTCGACATTTGGAAACTAAGCATAAAGATGAAATTGATGTAATAAAATTGCGTTCACTAGACAGGCGTAGTAAAGAACAAAAAAGTGCAAGAGCTACTCTGATTGACAAGCTGAGAAAAGCCGGTAACTATAACCATAACATAGAAGTTCTGAAATCTGGACAAGGAGAGGTTGTACCAAAGAAAAGTTTAAGTAAGTCAAGAAGCAGTGATGATTATTTGCCATGTAGACATTGCCTTGGATTTTACCTAAAGCATGATCTATATCGGCATGTCAGCAAGTGTACCTTCCGTGAGGAAAAACTTGTTAAAGGGACAAGACACCAAAGTAATAGTGCTTTTCTTCTGCCATCAACTGCTTCAGAAAAGGCTGGTTCAGATTTTCAGAAGGATGTCGTTGCCGACATGAGTGTGGATAACATTTCACTGTGTGCAAGAAATGACGAGTTAATCATTCTATTTGGGGAAAAGCTTTACAAAAAACATAAAGCTTTGCCCCACATGCATCAATACATCCGAACAAAAATGAGGGAACTGTCTCGTTTTCTACTGAAGGCACGAGAGGAAGATGAAGATATAGTTACATTATCAGATTGCATCCAAGCAAACAAGTTTGAGACCTGTGTCAAAGCTGTGAGATCATTATGTGGAGTTAAATGTGGCACAAAAGCGGATATCCCATCTTTAGCTTTGAAAATTGGATTTTCATTGAGCAAATGTGCCAATATCAGATTATCAAAAGCTCTGGTAGAGGGTGATTCTAAGGTACAGGATAATGTGGAAAGGTTTCAGAGACTGTATTCTATGGATTGGAATACTGAAGTTTCTTCCACAGCATTAAAAAGTCTAGAAACAAAGAAGTGGAACAAGCCTTCATTGCTTCCACTCACAAATGATGTAGTGAAGTTCCAAAAGTACTTGGACCAGCAAATTGATGCCAACATAAAACTTCTGGAATCAAAAAACGCCCAAGGTTGGAGGCCATTGTGTGAAGCTATTTTAGTTAGCATCATACTGTTCAACAGAAGAAGGAGTGGTGAAGTGGAGAGGTTGTCCTTGGATGTTTTCAGTCTCAAAAGCAAAACTGACCTCATGCCAGACGTGAAGGAAACCCTTAACAATTTGGAAAAACATCTTGTGGAGAATTTGTCAAGAGTGGAAACTCGTGGAAAGCGGGGAAGAAAGGTGCCAATTTTGTTCCCCAAAAAAACAGAGGAAGCACTGGATCTTCTCATACAATACCGATCAGCAGCTGGAATAGAAAAGGGAAACCCATATGCGTTCGCTAACAACGCAATAGGCTATGTACGCGGAGCTGACTGCATGAGAAGTACAGCATCGGAAGCAAAGTTAGAAAATCCAGAAAATATGAGGTCTACAAATTTAAGAAAACATGTTGCAACACTTTCGCAAGTTGTTAACTTGAGGGACAATGAACTAGACATTTTAGCTCAGTTCCTTGGACACGATGTGAAGGTCCATAGAAATTTCTATCGTCTCCCTGAGGATACTATTCAAATTGCTAAAGTGGGAAAATTACTTATGGCAGCAAACAAAGGAACATTGGGAAAGTTTTCTGGAAAGTCTTTAGATGATATTAGCATTGACCAAGAAGGTAAAAATAAATAAGACATATAATTATAGTGTATCATTGAGTTCTTTAATAGGTTTATTACGGTGGTAATGATGCTTTTAGAATTTTTATATATCATGTTCTGTACTCAAAAAGTTCAAACTGCTTTCATGAAAGGTCACATTGATAATATCTTTTGGCATCTGCCATGACCAATGTAGTTAGTCAGGATATCTAATATTGTTTCAATAGTTTGATTTCATTACAGAAACAGTTGGTATTTCATTCTTATGTTAAATAGTTATTTTGAATAACTCTTGTACAATTAAATCATTTAATTTGTCCTTGTTACAGTGTCTGATGAATCCGAATCTGAGGATGAAACTACACAGTCTACAGAAGTCAGAGATCAAGGTAAATAACATGCATGAATTGAAATACAGTGGACCCACGATAATCCAAACGCCTAAAATCCGGAAAACTCACAATCCAGACAAAATGTTTGGGAACAGATTTCTTTAATGTTATTTGTACATAAATTCAGCAGTCCAGAAAACTCGTAATCCGGACGATTTAGGCTGGAAATGAAAGCGTCTGGATTTTCGAGGGTCCACTGTAAATGCCATGTTGTAGATCTTTTATGTCTTGGCCAGTTGGCAGAACCTGTCTTCATCTTGTGACTTTGGCAGAATATACCTGTGAATGAGCTTTTAGTAAATGTATTGTAGGAAAGCCTTCAAACATCAGTAAAGATGTAAAAGTCCCATCATTTTTTCCCCGCAGATGATGCAGATCAAGATAATGAGAAAGCAGGAAAGAGAAATACCAGAAAATCTCTCCACAGTACAGAAGCCACTTGCATGACACAGAAACCAGGTATTTTTTTATGTTTATACATCATATAGAATAAAATAGGGTGGTCGGGTGGTGCAGTGGATAGCGCACTTGCCTTTCACCAAGGCGGCCGGGGTTCGATTCCCCGATCGGACGTGAAAAGGTATGGGGTCACCTGCCCGACCACGTGGGTTTCCTCCGGGTTCTCTGGTTTCCTTCCACACAAAGACCCCTCGCGCGCTAACATCTGGGTCAACAAGAGTGATTAATATAAGTTGTATAACTTGTTTCATAATTGTTGTAAAATAAATAAAGTTTATAGTTTATAGAATAAATGATTGTCACAGTAAAATATAACTTGTGTATCTGTATATCATATTATATCTGGACCATAAATGTCTGTGGTACATACATGTAATTGGATTTAAAGATAGAAGTAACAAAAAAAAGTTTGTAATTTATACTGAAAAGGGTTTTAAGAGCAGTTCACAAAATAATCCTGTATAGTTTATCTTGTTTCTTTAATAGGAAGTAGGAGAACTGTAAAGAGAATACCATGGACAGAAGAAGAGAGAAGTGCTGTTAAATCAGAAATGGAGCATTTTCTTCATATCAGGAAAACTCCAGGAAAACTGGACTGTGACAACTGTTTACGCAAATATCAATGTCTGAGTAGAAGAAATTGGAAAAACATCAAAAACTTTGTCTACAATTGCATTCAAAGTTTAAAGAAATGTCATTAAATGATGTCTAAGTAGGCAATATAGACATAAAAAGAAAAGCAATTTCAAGTTACATGTTGGACAATATAAATGAGATTCATTGCAATTAAAATGAGATTTTGTAAGAATTTTTGAATATTCTTTTTATTGAAGTTTTATCATGATAATAATTGTAAGGTAGAGATTGCATGATGGATTGATAAAGGATAATTGTTGTTTTGGCAGACTCGATTCGGTCAAGGGGATTTATAAATGAAATTTAGAAGATGCATTATTTAGTGTTAAGATGAAATACCATTTTGTTGATATTTACCTTCTACACTAGTTGCATTAAAAATATTTGCAATGGAATGAAATTTGAGAAGAAAACTGTATATTTCATGCTTTGTCATCCTTTACATATTGCAGTGTACAAGTTTGACTGTGATCAAACTTACTGGTAATGATTATTCTTGTTCTCTATAACATTACTGTATCAGATACGTCACTTTTTTTTATTTTAAAAGTGGCAGAAGGTCACACAATGTGTTAAATTCTGTTCATTGATGCTTAATGCAGGAATAAAGTTCACTTATATTGAACATTTCATTTGCATGTTTTATTCCTCATGTATTTTTTTAAGCTATTGAGTAAACAAGTAATCATTGATAGTTTGATTGAAAAAAAAAATGACTTTGGCGTTACTTTACATTGCCAAATAAATTCAAACTGAGGTAAAATTTGATTACTTTGTATTGCACAAGGGTCTAAACACAAGACATGCATTGTCATGGCAAATGAAATGTCAGACGTAGTGTTTCACCTTTTGTTGCTGAGATATAAAGTGGTTATTCAATGAAATGTCAGACGTAAATATTGTTTCACCTTTTGATGCTGAGATATAAAGTTGTTATTCAATGACAGTTTAAAAAATGCTTTTGGAATCCACATTAGAATAGAAATTATGTTGGATCATAATGACTTTTGTTTTTGTTGTTCTAATAATGAGACGGATTCAATTTACGGAAATAATTTCATTTTGCCCCCAATTTTTGACATGTTTTGTTCTTATCTTTGTCAGATGGTAATACAGTGTAACTTGTCTAAACCGGCCCCTGTGTAATCCGGATCTCTCAGTATTCCGGCCAAAATGTTTGGTCCCAGCACTGGAAAATGTAAGCAATGTTGACCTCTACAAACCGGACACCTGGGTAAACCGGCCAAAAAGTTTGGTCCTGGTGACATCCGGTTTAGACAAGTTACATTGTATATTGCATCTGTTTGTGGTGCTTGTGTTCGATTTGAAAGAAATAATAATAAAAAATAAACCTCAATGATTTATCTCGCCTTTTGTGTTACTTAATACAATATTGCCCCAAGGGGCTGATAACAGGGACAAAGGATCAAACCGAATGAAAGATTGAATTTACTATTTGATATCTTTTCACTGATAAACATTTGATTATAACATGGAGCAAAGTTGGTGAGAACTAAACGTGGAGCCAATTTACCAAAGGTCAATGTCACTGGGGGAAAGGTCAAGGTCAAATGTGGTATCTAGTCACTGATAAATGTTTTGTTTTCACATGATGAAGCAAAATTGACTGGAATCAAACGATAAGTAAAATGACAAAAGGTCAAAGTCACTGGGCAAAGGTAAGAAAAAATCCGCCCCCGGTCGCTGGGTTAGAGCAGAGACCTATATCACCATGGTTATATAACTAGGTCTCTGGTTAGAAGCCTGTTTGATATCTCTCTTATTATGAAAACAAAATATCAGTTATATGTATAAATACATCAGAACTCGGGTGACCATTAAGGCCCATGGACCTCTTCTATATAGTAAAAGAATTATGAACTTTTTACTTGGTCAAAATGCTGTTCTATTTGCTAGAAGAAAACATTAACAAAGGCGATTGACTGCATAGAAAACGGATATTAACCGATGTATCTTTTTCTATGGATAGTCAATATGAACGTATTAGCCAAGTAATACATATATATGTATAGAACATGTATGTACAGTCACGTCCTCTTTTTGGAGGTTACACACGTCCTCTCTTTGGAGGTGTCTGACGTCCTCTGTATGTTCACACACGTCCTCTGTATGTACACACACGTCCTCTGTATGTACACACACGTCCTCTGTATGTTCACACACGTGGTCTCTTTGTAGGCAACACACGTCCTCTCTTTGGAGGTGTCTGACGTCCTCTGTATGTTCACACACGTCCTCTGTATGTACACACACGTCCTCTGTATGTTCACACACGTCCTCTCTTTGGAGGTATCTGACGTCCTCTGTATGTTCACACACGTCCTCTGTATGTGCACACACGTCCTCTGTATGTGCACACACGTCGTCTCTTTGTAGGTAACACGCGTCCTCTGTATGTACACACACGTCCTCTCTTTGGAGGTAACACACGTCCTCTGTATGTAAACACACGTCCTCTGTATGTACACACACGCGTCCTCCGTATGTACACACACGCGTCCTCGTTTTGTATCTAAGACACATTTGTCCTCCCTTTGTCGCAAATGTCCTCTCTTTTCATTCATTTTCAAATGATAATAACGAAGCATTTAAATTACTTAGGTTAAATGAAAATTACGTGGTGAGTATACCTTCCAAGCCCGTTGTTTGCAGTCATTAATTACTGTGATAATACCATTATATGTGAGTGCCCTTGGTTTACCTTTGGGAGCCAGGTCCTGACTTTGTATCGAATACGTGTAAGGGTGTGTGTGTGTGGGTGTGGGTGTGTGTGTGTCTGTCTCTGTGTGTATGTGTGTGTGTGTTAATGTTTGTGTGTTAATGTATAGTTTTGTGTTTGTTTGTATATGTGCGTGAGTGTGTTTGTGTGTGTGTATGTGTCTGTCTGTCTGTGTGTGTTTGTGTGTATGTGTGTGTCTGTACATATATATATATCTGTATGTGTGTGTGTCTGTTTTTGTGAGTTTGTGTGTGTTAGTGTTTGTGTGTTAATGTATATGTGTGTGTTTGTTTGTGTGTGTGTATGTGTTTGTGCGTATGTGTGTTTGTCTGTCTGTTTGCCTGTATGTGTGTCCGTCTGTCTGAGTGTGTGTTTGCCTGTCTGTGTGTGTTAATTAGTGTGTGTATGTGTGTGTATGTTTGCTTGTGTTTGTGTGTGTGAGAGAGAGAGAGAGTAAATGCCTGTTGAGTGTGGAAGTATTCTTAATGCCTTTGCGATGGCACAAACTAACCCTAATCTACGATCACTTTAGACAGTTGTTTTGAATGGAAATACCATGAATTTTCATATAAGGTAACAAGTACTATCGGAAACGAAGCCCGTATTAGTGTAAGTGTGTAAATGGTGTTTGTATATGTGTATGTGAATGCGTGTTTTATTGTGTGTGTGTGTGTGTGTGTGTGTGTGTGTGTGTGTGTGTGTGTTTGTGTGTGTGTGTGTGTTTGTTTGTTTGTTTGTTTTTTTTGTGTATCTGTGTGTGTGCGTATGTGTGTATGTCTGTCAGTCTGTGTTTTTGTTTGTCTGTCTGTCTGTCTGTGTTTGTTTTTGTGAGTGTGTGTGTTGATGTTTGTGTGTTAAAATATGTGTGTGTGTGTTTGTTTGCATATGTGTGTGAATGTGACTGTCTGTGTGTGTTTTTGTCTGTCTGTCTGCCTGTATGTGTGTGTGTCTGTATGTGTGTGTTTGTGTTTGTGTGTATGTGTGTGTCAGTACATAGATATATCTGTATGTGTGTGTGTCTGTTTTTGTGAGTCAGTGTTTGTTAATGTATGTGTGTAAATGTATATGTGTGTGTGTTTGTTTGTTTGTGTGTGTGTCTGTTTTGTGCGTATGTGTGTGTTTGTCTGTCTGTGTGTGTGTTAATTAGTGTGTGTCTGTGTGTGTATGTTTGCTTGTGTTTGTGTGAGAGAGAGAGAGAGAGAGAGAGAGAGAGAGAGTAAATGTCTGTTGAGTGTGGAAGTCTTCTTAATGCCTTTGCGATGGCACAAATTAACCCTAATCTACGATCACTTTAAACAGTTGTTTTGAATGGAAATACCATGAATTTTCATATAAGGTAACAAGTACTATCGGAAACGAAGCCCGTATTAGTGTGAGTGTGTGAATGGTGTTTGTATATGTGAATGCGTGTTTTATTGTGTGTGTGTGTTTGTGTGTATGTGTGTATGTTTGCTTGTATGTGTGTATGTGTATGTGAATATGTATGTTTTATTGTATGGTGTGTTTGTTTTTGTGAGTGTGTGTGTTGATGTTTGTGTGTTAAAATATATGTGTGTGTGTTTGTTTGCATATGTGTGTGTGTATGTGACAATTGAGTGATGATACCATTTTAGCGATTGGCCATTTGCCTCTCCCATTTGATAATTCCATATTTAGGCATCCGTGGTTTGGGACCACCGCTCGAGTGGTGTTATGAGCTTAGCAGGAAAATCATGTTAGTACTATGTTTTTATGGGTATTTTTAAGAGAAGATAGAAGAATAAAAGACTAGATAAAAGAAATATACAAGGAAACGGTGTATAGTAGTTTCTGGTTGTTTATTTATTTTTGTTTTGTTTTGTTTGTTGTTTACTAAAATATTTACCTGTGGTTAACGTGTTTGGATAGAGCGGACCTGTTGCTATGTTGTTTCTGATTTTTAGGTAGTTTGTGTTTAAATAGAGTTTATTTGGTTTTTGATGTTGTATGTTTTTTTTTCCTTTTTGCTTTATGGAATGGTATTGTTGTTGTGAACTTTGGTGATCCTTGTTGTTGTTTCGGAGTCGTGTTTACTGGTGCACGGTTGTTGTTATTATTGTTTTGTATTTAGTATAAACTGCTCTGTATAAAGATTGATCGAAAGCTGTTTGTCCTCATTGCCCTACCTAACCGGGTTCCATAAGCTACAAGCCAGTGTACAAAACATGAATCCGACTGATCACCAGCCCATGATCGTTGTATCCTGAGGTTCACGTTTATGTGTAACCTATACTGGACGTTTGGCCGTGTAGTTATTAACAGGAGTTACCTCCCTTGTAATGTTTGTTTTATATGTGGTCTCCGTAGTATGTGTAAGGTATTTCAGTATCAATTTGTGGATTTCATGCTCTACTTGGCTAGTTTATAGTAGTGTATGTATGTTGTTTGAGGATATACATAATTTCCCAACCCTTGTAAAAATGTCTGTCGTGCTGTTGTATGTTATGGTCTATGTTTTTTTTTAAATTGTTACGGTGACGACATTTGGAGAGACGTCTTTTCGCATTCAGTTGATGTTTTCATTTAATTTCGTAAGGCCCAATCTGAGCCTTGTTATAATCCTGTCTTCTTTTTGTGTTTGTCCGAAAAGTTTGGTTTTTTATGTTACTTTTCTGAGTTTTTTGTTATTGCTGATATTCATTAAAAAATTTGTCCAAGATAGATCTATTGATTTATTGATCATTGAGTCAACTTTTGAATGATCTGTTTTACAAAATATAATGTCATTACCTTAAACAATCTTTTCTAATTTATCTGCCATATCATTCCCTGGTATGTCTACATGTGCTGGTATATATTCTAAGTCTACTGGTATGTTTTATTTGTGTAGAATGCCTAGTGTGTTCATGATTGAGTGTATTTCTGTGGGCCTAGGGCTATTTCCTGTCTCTATCGAGTGTGATGATGAGAGACTGTCTGTGAGTATTACTGCTACTGGATTTTCATTTTTTGTCCGTTTTCTGAAATATTTTCAAACTTATTTTGATGTGATCAATACTCTATAGAGTTTACTTAGGTATCTTGGTTGCCCAGTTTCCCCCCGAGATATAAGATAGGGTGTTAGCATTTTAGAAGATCTATTTTTGATATATCTAATATGAGGAATCCATGTAAATTTGTGGTCAAAAATCATTCCTGAATACTTAGTTTCTTTAACAAATTTGATTTCGGTTTCCCCTAAATGGTTTTGGTAATTAGGTGCGTCTCGAAAATAACATGGCTTGATTTGATTTGATTTGATTTTATTTGGTAAAACACAATATTAAAATACATACAAACATGTAAAGTAACAATTTTGTTGAACCAGGATAACACAGTAAAGTCCGAAGACTTATTTCCGCTGTGGTCCCTTTCCATAAAAAACGTTACAATACAACATAAAATACAGTGACCTTACATAATACAAAATGCACAAATATTATTGATATAAAACATATATTTTGTAAAGAACCTAAAACTATTTAAACTAAAAGTTTGGCAGGAATATCATTGTATCACAGAAAATGTATCCAATTATGAGGTATTTTGTAAAAAATCTCGAACAGCTTTTTTAAAACTTTGTTTCCCGCTAGACAAACGTATTTCCACGGGAAGAGAGTTCCAGGC